TAATTTTAATTAAAATATGTGTCAATATTTGTTTGTTGCATTGTGCTTATTTTTTTAATTCTAATAAATTTTTCAATCTTTTCTACTAATTTTATATATTTTTTAGCACCATCTTATTGAAGAAGAAATGTACAGATAGTTTCCAAGCTAGATACTGCAATGCTAATACTAATAACAGGAATTTCATGACTGTTATCTGTTTCATTTAAATCTATAGTTTCTTCATTATTTTTGAAAAAATACATGAGTTCATCAATAATTTGGTCATCTTTAGAAACTTTATAGACTACATTTTCTTCAAGAATATTGAGAACTTCTTCAACTATTATAAGACAAGAGAGATTAAGAGCTTGTATTGTGTCTTCAAGATCATCAGGCATTGGATTTTCTTGTTGAACATCTGATGAAATATTTCTTAACTCTGTATTGATATTAGTAAAAAGAATTTTTGTATAGCACTAACAATTGCAAATAATTTTAGCATTAACCTTATTCCAGGCTTGGATTATAAAACGAATTGCTTGCAAGACATTTAACTGTAAGTCTTTAGTATGATTTTCTTCTTTTATATACTGTAACTCAAGCTTTAAACAAATAATAATAAAAAAAAAATAAAAATAATTATTAGTTGAAACTAAGATTTCGAAATATTTTAATATTAAATTTTAAAAATTTTGAGATTTTTTGTTGGTTTTTTTTTAAAGTTAGATTAGGGTTTAAGAGTTTTATTAATAAAAAGATACAAATAAATTTTAATAGGTATTATAGATTTAAATAGAGACCTTTCAACTTTAACTTTAGCCAATCTTAGCTTCAGCTGTTACAATAATTACGAATTTATACTGTAAATAAATTTAACTCAAATACCTACCATATATAAGAATGACGATAGTGTCTTTTGTAAGTCATAATAATTCTGATATCTAGTGATTGGATTCTTGAGGTATTGTTTGAAGAAAAAAATTGAATATTAGTATAATGCAAATTAAGTCTATTTAACTTATAGCTAAAGCAATTATCAAAAAGAAGTAATACATGCTGGTCTTGGTATCTTAAACCAACTTGGCAATCAAATTCTTAAAGCCATTTTTGAAAAAGTAATGTAATCATTTATGCCTTAGCATTGCTACGATACATCATAGATAAATTCTGAATATTTACATTTTTAAAACAGTAAGGTTTTTGATATTTTCTAATAATAAGAGGACTCAATTTATAAAACCTATTAGAATTCATATGCAATGTGATTAAAAGGCATTCTTTGTTCATTTTACATCCAGAAAGACATCTAGTAGCTAGTGTTTGGTCTAGCTCTAACCTATAAAATAAAAATATAAGTTGCTGTTAATAGAGATCAAGCAGATTTATCTAATAAATCTGCATAATTTCTATTAATAACAACTAATATGTAAAGTTATAAATATAAAAAAATATGTGAAAATTAGTGATGTAATCACAATGTTATAATTTGTTATACTTATAATTAATTACAGCATTTTTTGTCATAATTCATATGATTACATCAAATTATAGCATTGTGCTTACACTGATAATGAGAATTTAAATTATAAAGCTAGAAGTTTTACCTATAAAAAAGACCAGTTTTATTCATATTGTAAATTCTTTTAGAAGGATATTAAAAACAAAGAATTTTAACAAGGGTAAAGCAATACTAATTGCATTTTTATCAGCAAACTCTGTCTCTTCTTTAAGCTTTTATTAATGAATGCCATTATGATTTTTAAACTTCTGAAGCTATCCTGAGAAAAATTGCAATACATCTTCAGGAATCTCTAGTCCTTTGGCGGGCAGGGTTGCGTTGTCATGAACTATGCTGGGACTTTGCTAT